CTACACGAATGCGATGTGCTATGGTACGTTTATGATATCCACCCTTTTCATGTTCTTCCAGGACTGCGGGATTATCCAAGGGCGCCCTGCGTCGGGCACGCTCTTCGCCATTGCCACAGATTGCTTCTTCACAGATATGGAGACCACGCTTTCTCGTCATACCGCTGGCATCGCCCGTGCTTGTGCTGATGATGTGGGTGCATCGCTTCGCCGACTGGACCACCTTCGACTATTGCACAGCGCGTTCTCGACCATCGAGCGGACTTCGGTTCTGACGCTGAAGACGACGAAGTGCAAGATCGCGCCGCTCGCCGCAGCCTGCATGCCGACCCTCGCGCGTAGATATGTGAGGTGGCTAGCCAGGAGTCTGCCCGCATGGGCATGCTTTGAGATTGCTCCAGTGCTGAAATACCTTGGCCTTTGGTTAGGGCCGGCCGCGCTCCTCCACTCCTGGAGGGCTCCCGTCGCCAAATGGCTGGACCGTGGTTCGAGACTGGCTTCCCAGGGTGCGCCGTTTTCTGTCACGGCCCAAAATTCTTCACGCTTCGCGCATCCCCACCAGCCCATCTCAAAACAGCAACTCTTGCGAAACATGCCGACAGTCGTGTTTTTCAGGCATGTTTCCGCCTGCCCCCGCATATCTCCGGCCCTCTCGTCCTGGTGTGAGTCGTTCGGGCCCTTCTTCCTGGTGTGAGTCGTTCGGGCTCTTCGTGGTGTGAGTCGTTCGGGCTCTTCGTCCTCGTGTGAGTCGTTCGGGCTTCTTGTGGTGTGAGTTGTTCGGGCCCCTCGCCCTGGTGTGAGTCGTTCGGGCCCCTCCTCCTGGTGTGACTCGTTCGGGCTCCTCGTGGTGTGAGTCGTTCGGGGCCCTCGTCGTCGTGTGAGTCGTTCGGGCTCCTCGTGGTGTGAGTCGTTCGGGCGCCTCGTCCTGGTGTGAGTCGTTCGGGCCCCTCCTTCTGGTGTGAGTCGTTCGGGGTCTTCGTGGTGTGAGTCGTTCGGGCCCCTCGTCCTGGTGTGAGTCGTTCGGGCTCCTCGTGGGGCCTCTTGGGGGCGTATTGGAGCCTCTTGGAGCTTCTTGGGGGCCTCTTGGGGGGCCTCTTGGGGGCTTCTTGGGGGCCTCTTGGGGCCTCTTGGGGCCTCTTGGGGGCCTCTTGGGGGCCTCTTGGGAGCCTCTTGGGGCGTCTTGGGGGCCTCTTGGGGGCCTCTTGGGGGCCTCTTGGGAAGCTCCTGGGGGCCTCTTGGGGCCATCTTGGGGCCTCTTGCGACCTCCGCAGAAGCGCAAAGGAGCGCTGCCCCCTGAAAAGGACAAAATGAGCCCAAAACCTTCGTACAATTAATGATTTTGCTATGAAGGAAGATGAGCGCGGCCCCCTTCAGGAGGCCAAAATGGGGCCAAAACCGTAGTACAATCAATGATTTTGGCTTCAAAGAAGAGCAGAGGGGCCAAACTGTGCCCCCCCGTCGGGGCCAGAATCCCCGCGAGGGTCGTCGTTTTTTGGCCCTCCCAGGAGTCGAAAAAGACACCCCTGAGAACGCTCGGGGCTCCCTGTCCAGGCCCAGGGGGAGGGGGTAGGGGGAGGGGTAAACCCCTCCCCGAAGGGGAAGAAGGGGGGTTGGGGGGTTGAGAACAGAGAAATCTCTCTAAACCACTCACGCCCAAAGGGCTGGTGGGATTATGAAAGCAGAGTTGCCTCGGTGTTAAGCCATGTGTCACAATTTTTGCTTCTGCCTGCGGAAGTTGCCAGACAAGAGCCAGCAATGTTTGCGCGTCTTTTCCGGGCCCCGAACTGTGTGATTCCCCGTGCGGGGTGGTTTGAGCTTGCCCAGTGGGGCGGCCCTCGAGTTTCGAGTATCCAGGCCACTTCCATCGCTGCGCTAGTCCGTGCGAGTCGCCTCCACATTGTCTCATGGCGAGAGATGCTCCCTGCTCTCGCAGCGGTTGCCGAAGAGGAGCTCCCCATCGTCCAGCGAGTCATCCACCGCTCGCTCTCGCCCACGTTCTGGCTCCTCCCCTTGTTCTGCGAGTTCCTTGCTGCTGCTGATGCTGCCTTCCCCCGTCCCCTCGGCCCCCATCTTGTCACGTCCAATGCTCGCTCTCATCGGTGCGTCTCGCGCGCCACCGAGCTCGCCATCGAATCGCTCACGCAAGCTATCGCTGAGGCACCTGACCCCAGCAAACTCAAAGTTCAACGTCATTTAAAGATCAAGATCTCAGAGAGCTTACATCCTCAGTGCCTGTCGGAAGTGTTTGCCTCTCGGTTGGCCCAGTGGATGCCGATCTCCCTTCCCGAGGCCCGTGGTCTTCCGCGGGATGCACTGCGGTCCGAGCTTTCGCGTTTCAGTGTATCTTTCTCGATGGCCGTTCTGAAGGTTTTGATGGGCGGATGGGCCACCGACAGGAGGTTTCAACAAGTATCGCCATATATGCTTGTTTGCCAAGATGGGCTTGATGATATTGCCCATTATCAGTGTTGCCAGCATTTCACACGCCACCTAGCTTCTCTGCTGCATCTTGACGTCCAGGTCTTCTTGTCCACTTCCCCTCTTGGTCGCCTCGGCATCGCTCTTCCCTCCCGCTCGTCTCTCTCTGCCCCTGCCGCTGCCACCATCCTGTTCGCACATCTGCACTCTCTGCCCGAGCGCCCGATCTCGGCCGACAAGGTCGGCCTCGTAATTCCCACCGCGAGGTGGGCGCTAGAGCGGCTGTAGACAGACGGACGTGGCGCGCGGCCACGTGCGAGGAGGAGGAGGAGGAGGGGGAGGAGGAGGAGGAGGAGGAGGAGGAGGAGGAGGAAGAGGAGGAGGAGAAGGAGGAAGGGAGGAGGAGGAGGAGGAGAAGGAGGGGGAGGAGGAGGAGGAGGAGGAGGAGGGAGGAGGAGGAGGAAGGAGGGAGGAGGGGGAGGGGGAGGAGGAGGAGGAGGAGGAGGAGGAGGAGGAGGAGGAGGAGGGGAGGAGGAGGAGGAGGAGGAGGAGGGGGGGAGGAGGAGGAGGAAGAGGCGGAGGAGGAGGAGGAGGACGAGGAGGAGGAGAACCCGACCGCGCAGGCCGCCACTGCCCCGCCGCGTGCAGCGGTCGGCATGCCGCGCCGCAAAGGCCACTCCTGCCCAGGGCCACTCTCTCGCGCAGCTGGCCCACACACTCCAGGCGCGTGCGTGCGCGTGCGTGGTGCGCGGTGCGGCCTCGAACCCGTCCGCACCGTGGCGATGGGGCTGCGCTCGCACTTCCGGCGGCGGCGAGCCCCCGCGCTGCTCTTCGCCGCCGCGGCCACGCTGGCGTGGCGCATGCCGGTGGGGCCGCCCGCGCGGGTGCCCGAGGCGAGCAGCTGGCTCGACGAGGAGTTGACGAAGGTCCAGCAGGAGTTGAAGAGGACGGTCGACTCGGCCACGCAAGGCATGACAGCAGCGAGGGAGGAATTCAACAGGAGCTGGCTGTTCTTCCACGTGTTTTTCCCCTGCTCGTTCGTGTTTCAGCTGTTCGCACTCGCCGCGCACGCCGTCGTCCTGAGGAAGCTGTTCGCGCTCCAGCGGCAGGGTGCGGAGCTCACCGCCGAGCTGCTCGGAGGGCCGCCCGCTGGGGGCCGAGCAGCCTGAGCGGTCGTGGCACCAGGCATTCCCCCTGGGGCGCGCGGCCCCGCTGGGCGGCGCCAGGCGCGCTAGGCTCGGCGGCGTCCCCAGAAACGCCACTTCCCACTTCCCACTCCCCGCCTCTCCCTCCTGCGGCACCTTGCTCATACGCCCTCCCCGCCGCTGTCCTGACACTGCCGTGGAGGTGGAGAAGGGAGGAAGGGAGGAGGAGGAGGAAGAGGAGGAGGAGGAGGAGGAGGAGGAGGAAGAGGAGGAGGAGGAGGAGGAGGAGGAGGAGAAAAAGAAAGAGGAAAAGGGAGGAGGAGGAGGAGGAGGAGGAGGAGGAGGCGTGCGTGCCAGCCCCGCCTCTTTGTACCCCCAGTGCCGACTGAGAAGAAGGCGTACGTGTGCTACGCGTGCCAAGGAATTGTTCGTTCCGTTGCTGCTTGGAAGATGCACAAGGCGAAACAAACTTTCATCTTTGGACCCCCCCCAGCAGTATGCACGTGGGTCGTCCTGCCAAGCTTGCGGGACTGAGTTCCACACCCGCCTCAGGCTGGTGCGACATCCTCGGCGTAGGAGCAGGCGGTGCCTAGGTGTGTTAATGGCAGCTGGGCCCCCACTCACGGTGAAGGAGACTGAGCAGTGCAAGGAAGAGGACGCGGTCTGCAGTGAAGCCCTCATGGGGCGCGGGGGCCTTCGAGGAGAAGGCGGTCCGTCCAGCGGTGCGCCTCTGCGGGCCGTGCATCGCCCCAGCTGCCCTTGTTCCCCTTGTGTCCCCTCCAGATGTGGATTCTTCAGGAGGGAAAAAACACACAGACACGATTAACCGTCGATTCCCAGGAAAATATGGGAAGTGGGGGGGGAGACAAGAACCCAGAACATATGGGAAAATATGGGGAATCCTGTTATTCGTGTGTATTTATTTGTGTGTCCCAGGGCCCCTTCATTGTGTCCCCCCCAGATGTGGACTTTGGCCGGGCTGCCGAAGTGGGGCCAGGAAAGCCTGCCATGTCCGTGCCCAGCGCCCGCGGTGGGTTTGGCAGCGTGGTCTTCCCGCACCTGTGTCTCGGGACGGCGTCACGAGTACGACCCACACCACTGGGTTGAAGAGCTGAGCGCGTGCAATCCTTCTCCCCCTCCTCCTCCTCGTCCTCCTCCTCCTCCTCCTCCTCCCCCTCCCCCTCCTCCTCCTCCTCCTCCTCCTCCTCCTCCTCCTCCTCCTCCTCCCCTCCTCTGATTGCGTTAATCAACACCTTTTGCAGAGTCTGGGGCAAGATCCGACAGTGAGTTACTTCAGACTGGCAGGTAGCACACGGCTGCCTCGAGATTTGGGGCACCCGCCGTGGCTGCAGCAGTTCTGACAGCGCGTTCGCGCATAACCTTTGCTCAGAGGTGGCCACTCTTGTTGGAGACATCTCCATTTCAGTGTTGCTTGACATGACCAAGTGTTTCGAAATGATACTGCCTGCCCAGATCTTGAAGGAAGCCAAGGAGCTGAATTTCCCTTTGAGGCTAGCTTGCATGTTGGTCCAACTCTACGCCATCCCGCGGAGGCTGAGTGCCTTCGGCAGTGTGACTGACCTCATTACCACGTTTTAGGGCATCCTCGCGGGATGCTCGCACGCAACTGGCATGTTATACCTTATTCCTTTCAGGGCGCTCAAGCGCCTTTCGCAAGTGGCCCCCTGCATCACACCCAGGGCATCTGTTGACGACATTTCCATCCAGCTGGTCACTAGCGACAGAGCGGATGTTCGGTGGTTGAAGCGCGCTGTCAGCGCCTTCACGCAGGAGGCTGCGGAGCTTGGTCCCCTCACACAGCTCAAGAAGTCAGGCAGCATCGCAGCCACCAGGCGTGGACGGCACTTCTTTAGGAAGCAAGCCGCCGCGCTGAAGTTGCAGCTTCGCCCTTGGATGAGGAACCTGGGGCATGACCTTGCGGCGAGCCGAGTGATAAGGTCGCAGGAGAAGATTCGTCTCCTTGCGCTGAAGACCAGGAGGAGGAATTTCCTCGCGCTCAAGGGTGCAGTCGGCCGCAAGGTTTCAAGGCTAGTCAGGGCAGGCGCCATGCCAGCCGCTGCGCATGGCGCAGGCGTCGCAGGCGTCTCAGACACGACACTACGATATTTCAGGCAGTTCGCAGCCACGTTGGCTGGTGACAAGCCGCATGGCGGCATTACGGCATACATGATCATGCACCCCGACCCGCTCTATGACCCTGTGTACGACTGCACGCTCCACATCGCTGTGAGATATGCGGTTTGGATCTGGGACGCACGTTTTTCCCTCGGGAGGCTGCAGAGGGCATGGGCCATCCTCCGGTCCAAGATGCGCACCAACCCGACGTGGCAGAGTGCTAAGGGACCGCTCTCTTGCACGTGGCTCACTCTCCTGCGGATCAACTGGGACATGTGCAGCGTCCACACCTTCGTCGCGGACCTCGGCGACGCCATCAGCCTGCTGCACACGCCGCCATACGACGTGAAGCTCGCGATCATCGATGGCATCCACCGGTGGCAGCATCGGCGGCTCCTGTCTCATGTTTCTGTTTCCGATGGCAGTGAGCAGATTTGGCATCGTGCGCTGAGGAATAAAGTTAAAGCGGTCAAGTGCCCCATGCAGTCCGCAGCTCTGGCAGCCGTTTGGGCCAACGCCATTCCATTCCCCGCTGCGAAGGCAGCGCAGGGATACATGGTTTCACCTCCCTGTCGCGTGTGCCTGCACCCCAGCGGGACCTATGGCCATGTGTGGTACCAGTGCCAAGGCCTTATTCAAGACGATCTGGACCCATATGGTGATCTAGTCCCCGAGGCACACCTTTGCCACCGTGCCGCCCTAACGGCCTCAGCGATGGACGTCATTGAGCAGCCGCTGGTGGACAGCACCTACCTAACTGTTGGTTTCCCTTCCTTATCCCGGGCTAGTGCGCTTCAGGCCCCCAAAGCCGATCCTGTGGTGTTGCAGTGGGGGGACGTGTATGGCGCTTGGGGGCCTGAAAGCTTTGTGGACGGAAGTAGCTTGCAGTCCAGCATTCCCGAGGTCGCCAGAGCTGGGTGGGGAGCCGTTCAGATCTCCTTTGGTCTGCTGCTTTGCCGTGCTGTCTACGGATCTCTCCCAGGGCCCAGGCAAACCATCGGGAGAGCCGAGAGATGGGCAGTGCGGCAGGCCCTGTTTCATAACTCGAACACGGAGCTCATCGCGTCAGATCTTCAAGCCACGGTAAGAGAAGGGAGCTCTTGGAGTCCAGAGGCCGGCAGAGGCTGTTCTAAGCATGCTGCGATTTGGGCTGATATCCACCGAATGTGTGAGAGTGCCCCGCGTTTTTTTTTTTCTGGCAGCCAGCGCACCTCTCGCTCGACGAGGTGCTTGAAAAAAGGATCCTGCTTACATTTGTTGGCTGGCAACCTGTGGGTTGATTTCTTTGCTCGGCTCGGAGCGGCGTCCCATTCCTATTCGGAGGGATTCTCGAAGGCCTTGGCGGGGGAATTCAATACCACAAATCCACGCTGCAGTCTTTAGCTTGGGCCTCCCAGGAGTTCTTTAAAAGTGGTGTGTGGACGGGTGATCTGCCTGAGAAACTTCGGTTGGCCGGCTCTTGTTCTGCTGCTCCCAAGGTGCAGATCACCCGTCGCTGTCTCTGGAGGTCTGAGGCTCGAGGTGAGTGGAGGTGCAAGCGCTGTGGACGTCTTGCTCGCACCCCCGCACCCCTCAAGGCCCTCCTCACTAATAGACACACCCGCGAGTGCGACCCCACTGCTCACCAGGGGACGGCCACCGCGGAGTGGTTCCTAGTTCGCGGGGCCTCGTTTGTCGTGGTGCGCAGTGAGGCTGTGAGTGTGGCTTGTGAGGCCGCAGCGAAGCTGGCACCCGACTCCGATGCTCTGGAGTCTTTAGAGGCTGGCCCCTCCCAGCCCGTGGATGACCCGCTGGGACCCATGAGGGATCTCGGCCACGACCCCTTTCAGGTGGGACCCCTGTTAGTCTGTCGGCGGTGCTCTGCCCACGGGGTCCCTGCTCATTTCAGAAATCTGTTGAGGCCCTGCAAAGGGCCCAGCTCAGCGGCCTCCACCCGTGCGAACCAGCGCATGGGCATCAGGAGGGCGGAGCGAGGGCTCCACCCGACCACTGGCGTTTCGCTCCTCGGTCCGAGTGGCGCGTCTGATGACCGCGCTACCGCTGCGGCTGGCGCGGCTGGCCGCGGTGCGGGGTGCGAAGGTAATGGCGCCCCTCCCGCCCCTGCCCTTTTTGGGGACGGGCGCGGAAGTGCTCGCGTTTCCTCCCCTTCCGAGGTGTCACCCCGCGTGATCCCCTCCAGAGGGGGCGAGGACAGTTCCGATTAAGTTTTGTTCGGCCCCGCCCCCCGTCGTGTCGTCGCCCGCGCCCGCCGCCCGCATGCGCCCTCTTCCACTTCGGCGAGACGGAGCGCGGCGCGCAGGCGCCATGACCCACGGGGTTAGGCGGGGCCCCTCCTTGCCCTCTCCCCCTGGCACGCTCGTGCCCCGCGGGGGCTCTCCGAACTCGGACCTCCCAGTCGAGCTTCTGCTCTTCTGGGAGGCGCAACGGTTGCGCTCCCCCTCCCCATCCCCCTCCTCCTCCTCCCCCTCCTCCTCCTCGTCCTCCTCCTCCTCCTCCTCCTCCTCCTCCGCCCACCCTGTGTCCTCTCCATTGATTTGGCGGACGATCGGGTCCCTGGAGACTTGAGGGGGGGTGAGACGGTGCGGTATTGGTTCGGCCTTATCTTGTCTGGACACGTGGTTGGGGTGATGTGTGGCCCCCCGTGTGAGACCTGGCCGACTGCCAGGTGCGTTCCGATTGTGGGGTCTTCTGGGCCCCGTCCCATCAGGTCAGGGACCAACCTTGGGGCATTTCCGGGCTTTCGAATCGGGAAAAGGAAGCAGGTGGCCGTCGGAAATGAACCTCTCAGGACCACAGCCCGTTTCATGCTTGCTTGCGTCTGTGCAGGAGTGCGTTGTATCATGGAGCGCCCCGAGGTTCCCTGGAGGCCAGGCGCCGCTTCGAGCTGGAGGTTGTCCGAGTTCGCTCGGCTTGCGTCGTTCACATTCGTTGCGTTGGAAAAAAACGTTTCACTCAGTATCGAGCGTGGCCGATACGATTGGCTGTCCGGTGGGTTTTTTCTGGCAGGACCTTGGGGTCCACCTCGCGGGCACGGTGAGGTTGCCATTGCTCTGCTGTGTGGGTCGGCGTCCTCCTGGCTGTGGGGAGAACAACCTTTTAAAACATGTATGTTTGGACGTGTTTCCCTCACGCCCACCCGCCTCCTCGGCGTGCATTCAACCTCGCTCGGCAGGCTTGCTGGGTGCCAGCACCCCCGGGAGGACACGCGGCGGCGGTGGGGAGGACGGGCGGTGGGTTCCGAACTGCAGCGTTGAAGCAGTGCCTTGCGGGGTTGTGCAGGCTCCTGGCGCGCATTTTCCCGGCAGATGTGCCATCGGGAACCCCCGTCGGGCTCCCAGGAGACGAGGTTCCAGAGGCCGCCCGCGGATTCCTCATGGCTCGGGACCCCTTTTTTGAGATTCGGGTGCAGCATGATTGTGCTCTCGGTGGAGCGGCTGGGGCCACTGCGTCCCCGCCCTGCCCCCCATGAGCCTCATGCTTATTTTTCTCCGTGGACGATTCGGGACTCCCCCTCGGGTAGTAACAACAACAGCAGGAGGAAAGATTATGATGCTGATGATGATGATGCTGATGATGATGATGGTGATGAGGAGGAGGAGGAGGAAGAGGAGGAGGAGGAGGAGGATGACTACTACTACTACTACTGCTACTACCACCACCACCACCACCACTACTACTACTACTACTACTACTAGTACTAGTACTAGTACTAGTACTACTACTACTACTACTACTACTACTACTACTACTACTACTACTACTACTACTACTACTACTACTACTACTACTACTACTACTACTACTACTACTACTACTACTACTACTACTACTACTACTACTACTACTACTACTACTACTACTACTATACTAGTACTAGTACTAGTACTACTACTACTACTACTACTACTACTACTACTACTACTACTACTACTACTACTACTACTACTACTACTACTGACTACTACTACTACTACTACTACTACTACTACTACTACTACTACTACTACTACTACTACTACTACTACTGCTACTACACTACTACTACTACTACTACTACTACTACTACTACTACTACTACTACTACTACTACTACGCCGAACTCTCTGAAGTCGAGGCCCTGTTCCGCCGAGGCCCTGTTCCGCCGAGTCCCTCTTCCGCCCGGCCCTGTTCCGCCCGGCCCTCTTCCGCCCCAGGCTGCCTCAGCCTCAGCCTGCATCAGCCTCAGCCTCAGCCTCAGCCTGCCTCAGCATCAGCCTGCCTCAGCCACAGCCTCAGCCTCAGCCTCAGCCTGCCTCAGCCTC